GCCCCGCGAGCCGTCCCACACCAGCCACAGCAACTCCGATGACTTCGGTAGCCAGGTGGGGGTCAAAGGTCGCGTGCCATCTAACAGTAGCCTGGATGAGCTGGGCAGCAGGCGGAGTGCGCAGAGCGAGGAGTGTTCGACACCACGCCGCCACGCACCGCCTGACCTCCCACCCGGCACTGCCACCGCGGTCGCCATCCCCCGTCAGAGCACAACAGCGGGCACCGCCCACATCATCAAGGTGGAGCAGCAGAGCAGAGGAGGAGGCGGGGCTAGGACACCACACTCGCTCCCACACAGTGCTTCGCTACGCAGCAGCAGCAGCGCAAACACCGAGCCCACACCCACCACCAGCCACATCACCCGCCAACAGTCCACCTGCTCTGTGGAGAACATGGCTCTGCCCCCGAGGAGTGCCACTAAGCAGCCACAGCAGGTAAGGCTGAAATGCACCTGGACAGTGAACTATGGAACAACACCTGAACATGTTTAGGTGAACTCTCAAAGTGTATGTGACTAAAAGCTGGCAGTTTCATCGAGCCTTGTGTTTCAGGGTAAAACCCTGTCGGATCACAGTTTGGCTGAGATGCGTTACAACACCTGTTTAAACAGGCGTAGAGAGTCTGAAAAGGAGTGTCACTGCTTTATGTCCAGGTGGCAACTCCGGTGGAGGCGGTGGCAATGTCTCCAGTGGAGAGGACGGCAGCCTGGGTGCTCAACAACGGCCAGTACGAGGAGGAGGAGGGGGCGGAGGGCAGGAACACCGAGAAGGTACTGAGTGGCCCCCCCCGGGCACTCGTCAGCACCACCTACACTGTGCAGCTGGAATATGTTTTGCTTTATCATACAAAAGTGCAAGCTAACTGAACCTCCTGAACCTGCAGTACAAGCTGGAGATCTTGCGGCTGAAGGAGCGCCTGCGGGTGTCCGGCCGGCGCCTGGAGGAGTACGAGCGGCGGCTGTTGGCTCATGAGCAGCAGATGCAGAAACTGCTGCTCGAGTACAAACACCGGCTAGAGGCTGAGGAGGCAGCAGGAGGACAAGGACAGCCAGATGAAGAACATCATGTGCAGGTAGAGACGAGCCACACACAGCAGAGAAACAAACCCGACTCAGAAGAGCTGCTCTGATCTGATCTGCTACCACAGCTGATGTTCAGCTCCATATATGAAGGCCCTGGGCTCGCTAGTCGAACTAAATTATCCCTGGATAAATGTTTAAAAAAAAAAATCCCAAGCTCAGGATTTGACAAGAAGTAATTAACACACAGACAGGATTAGAACTTTTTATTTGATTGTTTAATAGGAAGATCTGACACTGCACAGTGAGAACCTACAGTGGCTGCCAGCTGTTGCTAACCGGTTTCTCTCTCTCTGTGTGTGTGTGTGTGTAGGCTGATGGCGGTGGAGGAGGAGCTGAAGCGAGACCACACTGAGATGCAGGCGGTGATCGAAGCCAAGCAGAAGGTCATAGATGCTCAGGTACAGACAGCAGCGCCACACCTGCAACACAAAAGCACTGAGTAAACCACATGTAGACAGTAAACGTGCCCAGCCCCGCCCACAGAATCTCATTGGATGACTGAAACCTTTAACTTATTGAGAGAGCCAGCGCTTCTGCCTCTCACTGTGTCTTCGCTGATTTCAGG